TCTGAATTGCGGAACCCCCCCCCCCCCCCCCCCCCCCTTCCCACCCCTCTCCCATGGGGACACCCCTTCGTGCTTGTTGCATATTTGTACTATTTCCAGGCAAGAGGAAACATGAAATGTCGAAATGATTTGAGGAAAGTGACAAGCCTGGTATCTGTTAACCTGAAATATAATATTCTTCTCGAAGTGGATTTTTAGAAATTCGTATTTTCTTAATTTAGCCTAGTTTCTTAAGACTCCCGTTAGATAAAAAAAAAATAAAGGAAAGAAATTAGTTGCCCCGTCTTATGCACGTCGCCCAGTCAAATGCTACGAACGTATTCATATATCAATTATAATCCCTACCGAAGAGGAAGGATAAACATGACACTAATAAGACTGAGATGAAAGAAGAGACCGTGGATGACGTGAACGAGAACCGAAGCAGGCTTGGCCTTGTCCGGAACGCAGGAGTAATTCCCGGAATCCTCCTTCCTCGCCCTCTCGATGGTCAGAACGGACGAGAACCCCTTCGTTTTCACCGCGAGGTCGGGGCGATCGTTGCGGAAGTTGAGGAGCGTGTCGCCCCTGTACCAGAAGAGGAATTCGGGGCTCTGCGTCGCTTGTCGTAACACACACGTCAGTTCCAGTTTACTGCCACTCATCACGTGCACCTGGTCGCGGCCTCCCGTGATCTCCGCTTCTGCCTCTGCGCGGCACAAGGCAATGAGGAATGGGGAAAATCATATTAAATTCCTTCTGTATTCACTTTGTGATTCCTTAGAGTGGTGTCCGAAAAACACTGTTTAAAAAAAAAAGGAGAAACAGCGGGCGAGACCGTCCCTTCTAGATTCCCTGTTTGTCCTGTCGAAAGTCCTGCAAGAGTCGTGTATTGCATACTGAATCAAAAGAGACAAAAAAAGCTTTCCAACGATTTGGAATTCGCCTTCATCGCGGCACGGAATTTAGAGCCATGAACTAACTACGAATAGGAAATGAGGGCTATTTCCACTCGAGAAATTCGAGGAACTCTCAAGCTGTTTTTGGAATGAGACATTTCCTCTTCGCTTCTGGACGTCACAGTTCTATTTTCGATCCGAACGTCATCACTAACGACAACTAAATATTTAATTTTAGGACATTCGATGCCTTCAGCCTGTCGCAGAGTCACGCGAAGAAGTAATCAGATCTAAGAGTCCTTCGTCCGCCTTCTCAGACACACTTCTCTGCGTGTTTAAGGGGTGATTTCAGGAGCACCTGCGAAGATGCTCCGCCAATGAAGGTTATCAACCGATGGAACGGTCTCGGTACTTCTGGCAGCATAGAATAAACTGATCCTCGTAAACTTGGAACGCGGAAGAGGGCCCTGTCAAAAGCTTCATGATCAATTCGTTGAGGTTCCTATACGCACTCCGCGTGGCTCCGTCGGGCTTTGTTCAACTCACTTTGTCGCGTTCCGGTCTTTGCCCCATTCCCGCTTCAAAGACTGAGAAGAGAAGGGAACGTACCGATGACTCGAAGGCGTAGGAAGAGAGACTGCGGGGGATAAGTGGGGAGCTGGCATTCGTAGACCCCCTCGTCCCCTTTCTCCACTCTACTGATCTCCAGCGCCCAAGTCTATTCCAACAGAAAACAAACAGCTTCGCTTAGAGATACAAACGTGAACAGAGTGGAAAGAGACGTCGAGGGCATCGCACGGTGGCAGGGGGCCACTCGCATTCGAACCGATCGCGTCACATTTCTTTCCCCCTGTCCTACGTAACGATATTAATCCCCTAAGCCCCAGAACAAAAGGGTTTAACTCCGCTGAAAGCATTCGCCTCATTCCCGGAACGAGGGATTTACTCTGGTCGTCCCGATGGTAAACGTGGCTGTCGCAGCAGGTAATAAATATTTTCTCTCGTTACTTGGGCATATGGATTTTTCAGGAAACAACTGGGATCCACCAACCACGTCTGCACCAGCCAGGTGGATTCACTCAGAGTGCTTTCACGTGAACAGGTGCTCTTCGGTCGAGGTCATATGACTGCTCGAGCAGGCAAGCAGTGCTGGAAATATTATACTAGCCAATACCAATAAGAGAGTCGGCGAATAAGTCATTCTCTCAGATATTAAACACAGGCTATCATGATCTCTTCAAATAGGGTTTTAAAAGAAATTGAGATTTCCCAACCTGCATGTCTGGGGCTCAAAAGATTCACAAGGATATCAACAGATACCGTTCCTTCATGCCTTCAAGAATGGTTGACGATGTGTCACCGTCGCTTTCACAACACCAGACGTGTATCCTATTTGTTGCCGTTTTAGTATGTCAGGAAATATACAGTTACCGTACTGATAACCGCTATCAAGAAAAAAAGTAAATTAAAGGTTCTATGCAGCCGGAAGAGTTCACACATTGGTCAATTGATTATAATTTTTCTGAACGAGCTATACTTTTTTAAAGTAGAAAATCAATTTGTCATCCATTCGAAGAGGCCCATGTCTAGTGAACATGACAGTAATGCTGAGTTCGGATAGAAAACTTCAAAATCGGAGGACGTTCTAACTGGGATAGGGAATCACGGTTACCACATAGCGGTTACCACAGTTACCATGGTTATCAAATTTACTCTACTTTTACACGAGAGATTACTCATTACCGGCACTCCCCTTGGTGACCGGCACATTTATCATCGTCTGCGATGAGACTCATGTGACGGACGCCCATAACTCTTCGAGCCTTTGCAAGTCAACCGACGACTCAGAGGTGCAGGGCGCCGACCCGTTGTTGACGCTTCCAGCGGTTGCACTAAATTGGCTTCGTCGTCTAGTTGCTTTGGAATCGTTCCTGAGGGAAGTGCTGGAATTGAAAATAAAAATTCAAAATAAAAATAAAAATAAATCTCGACGATGATGGGACTTGAATCGAAGAGCACTCATGAGCTCCTTCAGAGATTTCAATATGAATTGAATTGAATTGAATGCTACGAGTGCAGACTCGTTCAATTATCCTCGTAAGTTGAATATATAAATGTCAACTTTGGAAAATTTAACCAAATTTCCTCATATTTTCTCAAAATTCGAGATTTTCTTTTCAGATTCAGTCTTTCATCAGGTGATTTCACGAAAGTGAGAAAAACCCTTTCACTTTCTACGCGTGGCCGTGCATTTATGCCGTGGCAATTGCATCCGGCTTTACTGGCATAGCTCGCGGCAGGTGACGCAGCATTGTTCTGAGACATCATCTAAGAAAGCCAAGTTACAAATTACTGGTCGACCCCAAATCGGGCGTCGGATCTGACGTCGATTCTGAATTATCGTGTGTAATTCCTTGCAGAGGAAAAAACCAATGAAAACTGAGTTTCTCGTGACACCTTATCAGAATCCTGTGGGCAGAGAGAGATAAACGTTCCCGCGTTTCCGGGACGAAAGAGTTATTGACCCTTTCCTGATACTCTCATGTTCGGCAACATACGACCTGTTACCTTTATTGTGCCTTTGATTTTATTAAAAGATCCCTTAGTATAGTAAGTATCCCTAGTATTGAAATACATTCTAGCGATCAGATAAGAGAGGCGATGCTGTATACAGTACATCTTACCCCCCGCACTCCTCGACTCATTAATACTCGCCTTTAATGAAGCGAAAAGAAATAAGCTTCAAGCAAAATTGCTTCGTTGATGAACTCCACGAATCTTGATAATTAGTAGGACTCCTACGTGCTAGGAGGATTGGTTCGAAGAAGACGAATACCAGAGATGTGAGAGCTCAAGAAGCTTTTCACTTGAAATGAGATGTCCTTCGTCTGCCATCACAGGGCAGCGTGCACCTCCTGAAGTAAACAACTCAGCAGAAAGAAAATAGATAATTTTTGTAAGGAGAAAGGGCCGGAATGCACCAGACCAGACCCCCAAAGGCACGGGGAAGGCAAAAATTCGAGGAATGCAGACGTGGAGACCGAATGCCCATGGCATGAAGGTCCTGGACCCGAGCCAAGAGTGGATGAAGCAGTTCAAAGTAACAAGCGTGGATGTCCTTTGGATAAGGACGACACGGAGAGAAACGGCCGAACGTCTTAGTGCTTGGCGGTGTAGCGGTAGAAGAACTGACAATCGACCGTTCCCAGGCGCTCTTTCGCCCTTTCTCTCATGCCCTCCTACGTCCATCTCCGGTGTAAGAATCCCCATGAACGTAATGGCCTTCTGCACTACATGAGGCTAAGCGACCCTGTCGTTCTCCGACTCCTCAGCCGCTCAACCGCAACCTTTCTACTCCCCACAACCAGGTTTTTAAAAGGATCTCCAGCCTCCCTTAATCGCAATGCAGCGGGGTCGAGATTCATCTTCGAGGTGGAATCCGCAACTTCCAATGAGCCCAGTGCAGGGAAAAGTGGAGGTAATGAAACGTGTCTTCTATTCCTAGACCTTGGGTTCCACATCGCAAAGAATGATTGCTTCAAGCAGTAATGAGTTTTCATCAAGCGTACTTCTAATTTTGCAAATTGAAAGGCAACACTCAATTTCTAGATATATTAAATTACGGCTGCTCTAAATCTTTTATGAGTTGACGTCATCCTCCTCCAGATTGTTAGTACTCCCCGCGAATGTCTCCCTCTGAAAGAGAGTTCCTTATCAAGCGTTCAAAGTTTAAATGGAGCTGGGAAGCACGCGCACCGGCCAATTAGGCTCGATTTGAAGCAATATTGTTTTAAAGCTATAAAAAAAAGTTTAAATTGAAGCGGCAGAAGTTTGTATCGATCGGGTCAAAGTCTTCCTGCTTCGCATGAAAGTTTAATCTGATGCGGCAGAGGTTTAAATCGAAGAGGAAACTGTAACTTTTTTTCAACGAGCTAAGCTTCCTTGATAATAGGTTAGGGCAAGGGCAAGGACAAGGACAAGGAGACCACCATTAGTTGCCTTTTTTCTCCATTACATCGGAATATTGCCTTTCTTTTTGGCTTTGCTGAAAGCGATCTTTACAGCCTCGGCATGGCCACCACCAACCAGTCCCTCCTATCTTCATTTTTTGTTTCCGAATATATATGCTTTCCCGGCATCGCCGGGATGAATAGAAAAAAAAGGAAGCTGGAGATTGGACTGCCCGGCTCATTCTTCCTCGTGAAAGCGAGCGGTCATGAATCCTCCTTTGCATGGGCCGGCCCGAAATGGGACTGGAATCGCGGGCGGGGACACTCGCTTCGTTCTGCATGACGAGAGGAGCGGAAGAGATTAAAAAGAAGGGGGATTGGCCTCTCATATCATGACATGTCGTGTCGTGGCCTTAATTGTCCCGAGGGGGCCCGGCTTTAATGAAATGACTCAGCATGCAGGAATCCGAAGCGAACTCATCATTCCAGATCGGCGCCATCGTCATCACCATCAGCATCATCGCGGTCATCATCGTGCCTTTCAGCTTGATGACACTCATTTCTCATATACTCGGAAGAACGCGCAAACAAAACCTCTTTTCTGAGATGAAGAAAGGATAAAGGAAGAAGGGAAAGGAAAAAGGCCGGTCGGATGATGGATGAGAAGAGATTCGGAGAAGCCTTTGCCTGTTGCACCGCTGACCCGTCGAGACTGGAGGATCCCATCTTTGGCTCACCTCGCAGGCTGCGCATATCACATTAGGTCAGGGCAAAAATCCCAGATGAAAATCATCAACACGTTAACGAGCGCAGTACGTGCTGCAGAAGAAGATTGATGAGATTTGCATGGATCCGTCGCATTCATTCGAGTACATGGAAGCAGATTAGCGAGCTTAATGAATTACATTGCAGAAAAACTCTTGTTTCAATATAAACGAAAAAAATGGAAAACAGCATCCTGGGTCTTAGGTATTAGACGATGGAGACGACTGCAGCAACTCTAGCCCCCATGGTACCCTTTGGACCCCGCCCCCCTTGGACTTAACATCCCGGATTACCTATTTTCCGACACCATGGCATCTGATCTGGCTTTAAGGATAAAAAGGAGGAGCGAGAGTCTCGTCCCGCCATGGACCTTGGAGAACGAAACCCACAATTTCAACCGAGATCGATTAAATAATAATAGCATGCGAGAGTCACCGGGACGTCAGACACATCGAAGAACCTTCATAATGCATGGAACGTCATCCCGCCCCCTCGAGACCAACCGGATTACCGTTCACGGTCGGAACGACGATCGCCGGAAAAATGCAAGCCGAACGAGTCTCGCTCTGGAAGGTCGTGCAACACGGTCGACGGGCTTTCGGGACGAGAATCCAACGTCTCATTTTTATAAGAGGCTCATGCAGGAAGCTCCCCTGAATAAACACAAATACGGGGGGAGAGGGGGATATTTGCCGAATGAATTCGGCCTCTATCGCAAAGGAAGGTGCTTGCTTAGGAGCAAAAAATAGAAGATATCGGGAGTTGATCTGTTGGCTCTCCAAACCCTACTCATATAGACCGATATCGCATTTCCCATTGACCAATCCGCTAGAGACCTTCCTCAGATAATGCATGGGGTATATCTTTTCTTTTCTCCCTCGATCTCGACGAAGAAGGGAATGCGAGGCCGGCGAGAAGAAGAGAGAAGATAGACCTGTCATTGGCAGAACTCCACCAGCTCCCCCCCTTCGTGATTGGGAAATGCGATGAAAATAAAGGCAACATAAAAAAAACACCGACTGGGACACCCCGAAGACCGAACGCAAGAACACGAACGTCGAAGGGACCGGCTTCCATAATACAGCGTCTACGACATTAGGATAGTGATTAGGATGAATAGAGGGGGAGACCTTGTAATCTCCCTAATGATGATGGATTGCCAGCCTTCCTCCTTTCTCACCGGTTTCCGTCTCTTCCTTCCCTAGATTTCCGCATCTGACAGTTCGCATTTTGTTCAGAGGAGAGATAAACTTCCCGGTTCAATTTATATCTCAAAGGCGACTCTACATCTACGCTAATTAGCGAAAAATCACCACGAATGAACGAATGGAACCGATCCGCAGCGAAAAGGTTCCAGGAACATTGTAGCTTCCGTGGTTAAATATTTCCTAAAATAGAAAATGAGCTATAAAATATCGGTTTTCGTTCGATCGTGGGTTTTAGTTGGCTTAGAGCGAGATCTTGGAAACAAGAAAGGACACGAATCCATCTGATGCGATGCTATGTAGGTATCTTTTTTCAACCCAGAGGCTGAAGAAATCCTCTCGGTGCATACAGTATTTAGGTCCGCGACAATATTTAGGTCTACGAAAGACAGTCTCTAATGAAAAAAGACAAAACCCCAGGACTCTATTTACTTTTCTGGCAGGAGAAACTTTCACGTAACTAAACATCTCCCCCTTCCTAAGCAGACATTTCTTGATCCTCTCTCGGCCGAGATCTTCACATCGACCATTTGTCAGGAGTGGAAATCCCCTCCACTCTACGTGGACCAGGTACATTTCATGTTGATGGATCGATTCCATCAAGGAAAAGAGCGGATACTACCACGAGGGAAGGAAAACAAAAGGAATCCTGCCGAGATTATTATGGGAATGTCTCGAAGCACAGACGACCAGGCAAAACTCCTCGCGTTTCGAGTATTCCACGTCCTACACCTCGCACATTTCGCCACGCTCCATCGTACGCTTCGCATTTTCGCATTTCGCGAGTTCTTGCTACCTACCTCAATTTTCCATTTTCCCCGCCTCCTCTCGGAACGAAGAGGAGCAAACCAATTCTCGTACCATTTATTCGGAAAGTCAGGGAAGGAAAGGGAGGAATCCATCCCGTCTCATTCCCCTCGTCTTATTCTCCTTGTCTTATTCCCCTTGTCTCCCTCTCTCCCTCGCTCTCTCCTCTCTCCCTCTTCATTGATTCCTCTCCAAAGAATCCCCCGACGACGGAGAAAAAAAAGAAAAATCCGAGTCCCAAGTGCCCCATTAAAAGTCCGACCCATCTCCGTCTTCCCCCCGACAGATACCATCACTTTCATTCCACTAAAAGCGAGATCAGGAAACGGAACCACGGAAACCAGGTGCAACCTGTAATGAAACGAGATGAAAGCGGCCTCGTCCAAAACCAACACGACCACCTCCGAGCTTTGTATCTTTTAACCCCTCCGGTTGTGTCAGCACTCAAACCCCCCCCCCCCCCCCCCCCCCCCCCCCCCCCCTTTTTCCTCGCAGAGAAAGAGGGACGAAATGCATGGAATCCCTTCTTCATGCATGGCTTATTATCTAATTGAAAGGAGCTCCCCGATATTCTCATGCGAGCGCGTGGAAAGGAAATGAGATGGAGGGAACAAAAGCAGATTTCTCCACGAGGAGGAATCGATAGATAAATACGTGATAGAAGTCTGTATAAAGCAATGCCTCCTCTTTCTTTCCCCGTTGCCACGATTGTATCTTCTCTTTCGTGCACGCCATCCAGGTGTTTCCTCGACGGTAAATATTTTCGGCGTTTAGTTCAGACTTTCCTATAAACGAACTCGGGCATCTCCAAGAGGGATTTTTTAAACTCTTTTTTTTTTTACTCCTTTTTCCCCCATTTTTTTTCGTCCAAGACTCGGAAATGTGCGTCTCGCCTGACCGACTGCTTCCCCCCGTTTTCCCATTACCATTATCATTACCCCCCCTGATCCAGTCCATTACCAGGTAGCCTCGGCCTCGACGGTTAAGTACATCTGAGCCGAAAGGGAACACACGAATTCCCCAGGATGCATGCAGCTCCATCGGATAAAATTTTGAGCAGAATAAACGAGCGGCCCGGGCTCCATCGATCCCAGGTATCATATCCGAAGGAAGACTCGTTATCATCCATCTCCATCCCGATCCGTGCCATCAATTCACGGAGGAGGGAAGCAAAAAAAATGCCAGGGGAAAAAATGCCTGGGAAAAAAAAGATGAGAGTCTGCATGCGAAATCACTTTGTTCTCATCAGTGAAGCGGAAGAAACCGAGGAAACGAAATCCCGTTTCTTCCAAATGAACCGACTTCAGACTCATGAATAGTCAAGAAAAGGATTCAGAAGTCAAAGCCTTTCCCCCTCGGGACTGATACATTTTTACCCTCGTTGCACCGCCTCGAATCGGGGAAAAGCGACGTCTCTCTCTCTCGCCGACGCAATCAGACTGAATGCGATCGACGATTCAAAGGCGTCGAAGAGAGAAAAAAATCAAGTAGAAAATTGCGGAGGCGCGACTCGATTATGCCGCGGGTTTAGTCAACGAGGAAAGCAATTAAAATCCCCAACCCGGGACTCATTAACTCGGCGTATATATATAGCGAATCTAATGGATCGGGGATTGAATGGAAGGACTCACGGAGGAATGCCTGCCCTTGACGGGTATGAAGCGGGAGTCCCCACTGTATGCCCCCGCTCCCACTGTCAGCAGATGGAGGTCTCTCCTCCGGATCCAGGATACCTGCATGGATGTCATATTCGGCTTCATCTCTCGCGAAGGCGTGGTTCCAAGGAAGGCATCGAAAAATGTGCGAACACTCAAAGTATTTCGGGGAGAATAGCCATTGCGGTCGACTATCATCCCAAATAATACCGGGTGCAGAATCAAAAATGCGCAGCTGTCTGAATTTGTACATCAGGGAATCGGCCGTTGTTGCGGTTATGTAAGATCCAGGATATTTGCGCCAAGGGATTGTCTTTCGCAGAAATTTTTTAATCCAGAATTTACTCCAGCTGGTTTAGTCTTAGAAGCACTTCGAAGGTTGCGAGTAAAATATTTCGATATCCTCGTCCGTCGTCAATTGTCGAAAGGAAGTTGTCAGTCCGCTCGATCACTTTCGCGTCCACTTGTCTATTTAGTCAATTGTGATAAAGGTGTTACCCAAGGCAGACAGAGTGGTAATGAAGCACATATTCTGGACGAAAGTCTTCCCTGACTTCATAGAAAAAGCAATAATTGAACAGGAGCCACCGCCGAATGCTGTCGTCCAGGCGCAAGCGCTGCTCTTCGAGCATCCATTTCAGTGTGCCTCCTTGCTTTTTCAAATATTTAACTGGCGTTATTCAAAGCGCTTCTGAGACTAAACCAGCATAGAAAAAGTGCGAGAAAAATTAGAGATAAAATATAAGCATACCTGTTGGAAGGTACACTGCTGTAGTTTTGCCAAATTTTCTGATGTAAAAAATCGGCGTTTTTTATCCGCATCCGGTAATATACTTCCTCATAGAGAGGAAAACACATGCTCCATTCGAACGGATATATTGCATAGAAAGCCAGAATACTATCTACTGGAATGCCTAAATGAACACCCTTCCAGGAATTCGGTATTCTTGAATACAAGTGATACATTTCGATACGTTCTCATTTATCGGTTTCTCAAAAATTTTGAGACGTTGTTATTTTAAGTGAGCTCATTAAATCAAGGAAAGGTAAAGGAAGAAACCTGTTTTTTCCTCAAAATATTTTTCGAGGAAAGTTTCAAAGAAGCCTCTTTCGAAAAAAAAACCGATTGCTCCAACCGTGACTTTGCTCGATAATTCTTTTTTTTTTCAGTGCTGAAACGAACCTGTTGCCATGAACACCCTTCCTTAATCTCTCCCAGCTTTGATCATCGACGACACGAAAGGCAAATACAGTGAACTTGGCATGATAAATTGGAATGTTGCCATGAGCCGCAGAGAAGCAGGAGGATAATGGCAGCCAGTCTCATTCACCACTGCATTAGCCGAGAAAAAAGAGAGGAAAAAAAGGAAGTTCGCCGGTTTCTGCCTTCACAGTTGAACGACGAAGGCTCGAAGATTTCATGGATAATAGAACTCAGAGGCGTGCTTCGGATGAATTCTTGCTTCCGGAATCCAGGCGATAAAATTTTGAATAAGCCATGCATAGGCTCGATGGAGTCTACACATGGCTTTTCCCTTCGAATTATCTAAAATCCATCATCCTCGATCGAAAATATACAGAGGCTTCCACGACAAAAATGAATTAATCAGGACAAGTGTGTCTCCATGAATAATGGCTCGCCAAAGAGAGACCCAGAATTGAAAGGACTTTCGCCCATTGATCGATTTCGTCTTTTTGTCATGAAATGCACACGAACAAACGAAGCCGACCAGACTCAATCGGCGAAATTATTCATCAATAAACTCGTCTGTCTGCAAGCAAACTCCCAGCCAATCAGGACACAATCACTCCAGCGAATATCAAGTTCCTTCTCCTCCAGGGTGTGGAGAAAACAGGATCTCAATCTTTGCCTATTTGAATTTCATTTCGTGTTCCTCCATTGCCATTCCTGAGGAGTATTGGGAGAAGATACCCAAACTGGGAGAAAAAGATAAGGACTTGTAGAAGAAACGTGCCCTTTCCGTTATTACCAACGCACCATTCCGCGATGAAATATGAAATAAGTAGTTGGGTTTTACGCTTTTCGTATGGACTTCAGTCCCCACCACCACGGTTGCCGGATCTCGCATTACAGCTTTGTCGGATCGAAGAGCGTTCCTGCCTTTATATCGATACCCGAATCGCACGCTTTCCGACCTAATTGACAGGGCGAGGTGAGACCGAAGCAATGCTCGTCCGTGGCAGATCGATGCGACCCATCATGGACGCACCGTTCGTGGACATCCCTGACTAATGGACTCTAACGTTCCCTTGGACTTCCCAGGCAGAGGCTGGGAAATCTAAGGGAACTACGGGAGAGATGGACCAGTAATAGACCTAATTGGCCCATAGCCGGATGGTGGAAGTTCATTTAGTCGGAAAAAAGTAAGTCTAATGCGAGATTCACTTGAAGGCTGTCTACCGGCAGGGCCTAGCCTCGACCTCGTATGCTACCTCGTATGCTACCCGGTATGCATTATCTGCTTCTCGGTTAATTATTGTGCTCGTGACTTAGGGTCATTCAGCGATGATATTGAGACTACTCGTCACGGTTCCTCGGCGAGAGAGGGGAAGAAAGAGGAAAAGCCGTTGAAAATATGGTTTGCACATATACAAATATGTTTCCTTGCTACACGTTTTGGCATGCAGAAATGGACTGCTCCTTCTCTTGCTGCCGTCTATAATGCCTCCAACACTCGATAAGATTTTAGGACTGCAGCATCCTCTATTTGAAGTAATCCAATCCTAAATGCACTCTAGAAGGCGTTACCTGATCTCCGTCCTCGGGCGAGAGTAGGAGGAGATGGGCTAATGTGCACGGGAGGAGTGCAGTCCCGCCCAATTGAACCAGGATCTCAGATCCGTTCCTCGCCTCTTCCCCGCTGTATCTCCTCTCTCCATCGTCTTCCTCCATCCATTCCTCACTCCCTGCGTCTCCAGAAATAAAGAAAACACATTTCTCTCTATATATATCTATCTAACGACCAGGGGGGAGGCAGTATCGACATATCGACGGAAGAAGAGCTGGCGGGGATTGCGAGACATGAAAGGAAAACGTGAATTATTTATGAGCCCAGATCCTCTACCAGTTATCTACGTTTAATTGTGCTTCACTCCCTTCTATTTCAGTAATCCCTGGCTCTCGTAAAATGCAAGTCATCGATGAGGAAAAGTGAGGCTGACATCTCTCCCGGAGCCCAACTTGGCAATCGAGAGATGCATATGCATGCATAGAAGATTAGGAGGGGAGTGGCTTTCAGGAAGTTTCTAATGGGATACTGCATATTGCCGTCCGGAAATACCGCTCTCTTGCTATACGAGACATTCATAAAGTTGCTATCCACGTCGTCTCGTATCCCCCAAGATAGGACAGACCGCAATTAAATATACATTTTCTACTTTCTTGCTTTTGAAACAGAACTTGCGATTCCGTGCATCGAAAGACGGCCGACCGGACCGAGAATGTATCCCTTTTTTCGAAATAAATAAATAAAATAACTCACCACGAAGGTGGACCGGAGTCAGGAAGATGAGGGTCATGAGAGGAACGAGAAGCAAAGGAAATGAAGCTCTCATGTCGACTAGAAAACGCTGCCGCTCTCCTTCGGGTGATCTCTGCCGCTCTAACCGATGCCGATCTCCTGGGAACTCCCCCCCAACCCTCGTCTTAATTGCATCATCTCCACGATCTCCTGGAAGGAAGAAAACTTCCTGTTCCTCATTTGGGAGATTGGCAATCGATAAATGCTAACAAATACCGACACAGGTGAATGCCAGCCATTGAAAGAGCGTCATTTTTCGTCAGAGCAGAAGCCCTAAAATGTACAGTAAGGTAATAATGCATGTCATTGTACACCTATGCGATGCCCCGTCACCAACAGTATGATCGATGGACGTCATCCTATCTTTTTTCTTTTCTCCCTTCATCTCTCTTATGACGTATGTAGTACTCTGCGAGGGCGCATAAAAGAAGGCAATCCATATTTGATGAAGAACGTTCCAAACCGTCGGCAGAGGAAAAGGGGACACTTATGCTTAATCGGCGTCATAAATCTTTGCTCCCCCCCCCCCCCTTCCCCTACTTCTCATACCTACACAACGATTAACATCATCCAGGAAGTTTCAGGAAATAAACACTCGTAAAGGGGGAGTTAATTTCCTTCGTCGATGGCAACAAGATATCATCGGCTCAAAATTCACCTATTTACAGATAATAATAACGGATTCGCTTCGGCCTCGTAACAAATTCCTCGCTCATTCTCGCAATTGGATTGGACACAACCCAACTTGTCGAGACGATTCCTCTCTAGTCGAGCAGACAACAAGGACGTGGACTGATGGGCGGACGAGAAAACCGCGATTTCTACATTTAACGGAGAAATGCCTCTATTCGCCTTTCATGTTTGATTGGGAAGCCTTGGTGGAAGAAGGAGGGGGGAAGAGAAGAGAAGAGGGTTACAATAGCCCGGATTAGATTGGATCTGGCTGTCTGGCAAGAAGTGCCTCTTTTCCCCATGCAATCCAATGCACTGGAATCTGATTAGAGAGGGACACACCAGCAGAGCTGTCTTCTCCTTTCTCTCGGACCTGATCTCACTTCGCCCCACGGCGGTTCTCGGGCGGTGATTGGGCTTCATTAAACCCTGCGGTAATGAAGGACGGGGGTGGTCGTGTCGGTCTCGCGCGGTAATGGGCGAAATCAAATCATGATCTGATTGAGTCAAATCACGCCATGAGGATTTTATCTGCTTTATCTATCGATTAAATCGGATAAAATTCATCCTCGGCTTCCTGTACTCCCTTTTAGCCGCTAACGGACTTGTAATCTTCTTACCTAAAGGTCTGCTAGGAGTTAAAAGGGAGTGAAAAAGGAGCACTTTTTTTTTCGTCAACCAGTCATATGAAAACAGTAAATGATTCCTATTAGCTGTTCATGCAGTTTTTATTTAAAATCCACAGACATTGAGACACTTGTCCCACCGCTCAGCCTGATTTTTTACGGCACTGTCGTGAAAAAAAATTCAATTGGTGCTATGATCTCACAGCCTCTATCACGTCTTAGTGGAAGTGGTGTCTCTGACCCCTCAATGTCCTTTTCATAGGGTCTCATCAGAATGATGACACCAGGTTTCATCATATGTCAATATTCTGGCCAAAAAGTTGTTCCCTTCAGCATGGTAGCGCTGCAAATGAGCTAGACAAACACCCATGCGCACATAATTCTAGTCTTCGTTCGGGCGCTTCGGTAGTCATTTGGCTCGTGCCAAATGAAACTAAAGGCGAATCCCCACTGTGGTTGCTATGGCATCCAAACACATGGGTCTGTTTGCTCTCATTACTTCGTCCACTTTCGCTCTGTTGTCGTCCGTGATAACGACATTTGCTCGTCTGGGTCAGGGTTTATCCTCAACATAAACGCGTTCGTCACGAAACATTTTGCACCGTTCATAAATCACCTCTTGGACAAACATGTCTCACCACGAAGAGCAACCTTCCTGTGATGAATTCGTGCGATATTTAGTGCGAGTTTTGCTGTTTTCAGTTGATCTGCCGCAGTATAATTCTAAAAATTTGATACGATGGTGATTGGTGGGTGACATGCTAATAAGACACGTTAAACGTGAAGAAAATTTGGCATTCCATTAACACGTTGGCGACAATGCGTCCTGATGCCAGGATGCAGAATTTTTTTCAATGAATTTCTGGAACTGTTGAGAACGTTCCAGAAGATTATGATTTTGGTCCCACGCGGCGGACAAGCAAAAATAGGCTGGTCGTCAACGTGTTAAGACATCTGGTCCAACATGTATGTCGTTTTCCCGTAAATTTCTAGCTGAATTCTTCGGTCAGCACCATTCTGCAGCATTCTCACGCTCTGCAGTTGTCTCAGATTTTAATGTGAATTTATTCATTAAATGACAGGTTTGTATTTTTACTGCAATTTTATTAAATTTCATGTGTTCGAAAGTTCCAATTATTAAAAATACATGTACTTTTGACATGAATTTAACTGTTCATTTTTACTCATTTTTACTCATTTTTGCCCTTTAAAATATTTTTTACATCTTGGACAAAGGGATCTCGTGCCCAAAATAGCAGACCCCCAAACCAACTCACTTAGACCAGCGGTCCTAAGAAAATGATAGCCACTATCTCTTCAGCATATTGCTTCACTGACATAGGCATGACATCTTCCAATGACGATTTGAATCGCAGAATTGAATTATGCGTTGGACTGTTTCATTTAAATCCTCTTTTCAAAAAAGATAGGAAAGACTTTGAAGAGGTTTTACGTCTATGTTAGCGATATTCCCACCTTTATTCCCACCCCATGAATAATTGGTATGTCCATAAGAGAAGGTCTCGGAGCGGGCTTCCCGATGCACTTTTACCGTGACTGGGCCGGTCGATGAAAGGAGGGAGAAGTTCCTCTCTAATGAACCTCATCTATCATATATTGGGGAAAGAGGGAGACGGACAGAGGGGGGTAAGAAGTTCCGTTGACACATCAGAGGGAGAAAAAGCATGTCTCCATTATTTCCACCACCCTCTCTTCCTTCCCCACTTCCTTCCCCTTCTACCCCCCATTCTTTCCTCCTCATTTCTTCTCTTCGGGGAGAGCGAAATCGGGGGAGGGGAATTTCCCTCTGCTATATTTTGTCTCTGGTCTGTTATAATGCACGGGATTCCCTCCCGTTAAAGATTGAGTCTGGTTGATCGGAGACGAAAATAGTACCAACGATAAGGATCATTATTCCATTTGCATACTTGAAATAAAAGTTACATTCTTCTTTGACGCTCTATCTTTTAGAGCTGTCGATACTATCCGGTGCGTAGGGGTTTGAAAGCGATGACGAAAGTGATGACAATGGATGTGAAAGATGGATGAAATCCGGCATTTTTCAATACCTTCCCGCTCTTGGGATTTTCACCGCTAGAGCCAGGGACAGGAACAGATGGAACCACGGTCGGGATCTGAACAAGATCTCAACATTGAAAATTCGAAAGCATTCTTGGTATTTCCCATGAGGAGGGGGCGGAATCTCATCTCTCAACGTGAAGAAGAAGCACGGTGAATCATTATTTTCAATTTCTCTCTAGTACGTGTGATGGATTCATTCCAATGCCGCCTGTCTTCCAAGCATTAAATTTCCCGTTTTCCTTTTATTTTGCTTTCTCCTTAAAAATGTGATGGGCCTTTAACTCCTGTCGCGAGAATAATTTATTATTTCATGTTCTACAGGGTGTGCAGATAGTGACGCTCTGGGGGCAACATACCCTACATACTTTAAGATATGGTCAAGTGATTGGTTTTCGAAAGAGTGAGACGAAATACCCTATCGAGACACGAGTGAAACGCGTGGAGTGATTTTTTTCAAACGAAATCTGTTGTCAATGGGCAAGTTTTTTTTCCAAGCTAATCACTGTGCAGCTGCAATTTCCGAGAGTACCATCGAGCGGCTGATAAGACGATTCCGCAAAATTAGTTCGATGGAAAACCTGTCAGGGCAACCTGCTTTTGTCGACTATTAGTGAGGAACTGCAGGCCATAGCCTCGATCGAACTTTTTTTTTTATAGGGAAGGATGACTTGTACGCGCCACCACCCCCGGATGACTTTGATAGGTTTTGCACCGAACCAGTTTTGCGAGATTTCTCGCTGAGCCACTCGATTGTTCTAACAGAAGATGAAGCTGCACATTGTTGAACTTGATTTTTTTTCACATCGGCAACGAATTTATTTTTTTCTTAATGATTTTCATTTGTGTCACAATTGGGTTTCAATCACAACCAAGCTTTCGAAAGTTTCTTTTTTTTTAACCTTAAGCGATGGACATACTAATAGTTACTGACCATTCAACCACAACCTGGAAATATTTTAACGAGTTAAAATAGAAAGAAGAAATTTGCTTACGGAGTTCTTTGTACCTTTTTGCCTCTGAACGTTACGTGCGTACGTACGTTCTTTCACACACTGTACGTTAAGAGAATTAGGATCAATCTTTGTTGCCGATCAAATTAGTGGATAAGGCAACTTCTTCGAATCGTAGGGTACTTTCAATTGCCCATCTCAACTAAGGGCCGATTCGTGTACTGCCATTTAGGTAAAGGAAACGTTTGACATAAAGGCCTTAAGCTGATTAGCAGTTGAATGAGTTTGCTAATGATGAAGGAAAAATTGCGTCCAACAAAAAAATCTCGTAAGGAATCTGTTAGCTAAAAGGGGCAATTAAAAGTTTCTTTGTAGTTTTAAGAGGGAGATGATGAATCTTGCATACGGCTGAGTCGTCAAAGAGTCCTTAGAGTCTCCTCATTCATCAAAGAATAATAAAATTTGATTAATTGTTCCCTACAACACCCGTAATATTCGCTTACGCGAAACTGAAGTACCAACGGAGTCGTGCTCGCAATCCACTCGCAATAATGCACGAAAGCAACAAATCAGGAATAATTCGATAAAGGAGATTGAATAGCCGATAAACGGTAATTGCCCACGGTTGATCGAGAAAATACGGGATGCCCCAATCCCGGTAATAGAGTTGCAGGGCAGCCATCAAGCAGCCATCCTATAAAGCAGCCATGCATACAATTTTGAGGCACCCGGACACCCGTCGCGTGACGGTGAGACACGAAAAAAAAATCGGGAAAATGGGAGTCGCCGCAATCTCTTTTCCCTTCCTCGTTCCATTTTCCTGGGAAAAAGTCTCCTTCACGTCAAGCCTATGTTAAAGGGCTGAAATGGTTGGCTGGTCCGGAGTTGCACAGACAAGAAAAAGGAATATTTTTGTGTTCGAAGAAGATTATTAAATGCTAAGGGTATTCCGCTCGAACTTGGAGGGCCACAATCGACATATATATTTCTGACTTTGATTCGCTGCTTCTAACTGTGCATAAGATGGACTCAAACGAATGCAGGATCATATCTATCAAACAGCGAGTACTTTTTGTGCCTGGATTTTTGGGTGTGTTTTTCCTGCAAAAGGTTCCAAAGACGACTAATATTTACCCATTGATGACGTCGCTCAAAATTACTTTGCGGAGATACTGTGTATCGTGACGCTAAGAAGATCGGATGCAACAAAACGAAAAAAAAGCGAGCTTTCATGAATCGTTGCAGAATTCCGTCAATCGAGAGACCTTTACGTTGTAAAAGTGAAGTTTCGACGTCGAAACGGGGGCGCTTATTATTGGTTTACCGGAACTGCTATTAAGATAGACCCGAGAAAGCCGCGACCAATCTCGATGTGTCGTGGCGACGGGATCGAGGACGCATGACTGAACCATCCTCTGGACTGGGAGTAGGGGAGAAGCTGCAAACATTGTTATTATCGACGGAGGCTGTAGAAATGGAATTGCTAGGTTATGACCAGGGGGTGGCAGGGGTGTGAACCCCCGCTCCTTTCCCTAATAAAGGGATTAGGCGGGGCAATAACTTATTTTCTGGTTCTTTTCTATTTCCTTCTGCAGTCGCACTGTGCTCCCATCTAGAGCCCTATGAGCCGTTGTAATCACTTTCCTTGTTTGGTATGGACCGGACGAAGTTGGAGGTAGGAGGCAGACTACAAATCGTCATTATATCTTCATCTTTTAGATGGGGGAAGAGAATTATGGACAGTATTCTATACGTCGTAGTGGGA